AGAGCACCTCTCTCTCTCTATAAGAACGGTGCATTTTGAGGTGTGAAGTGGGAGAGAAGGAATTTCATAATTGGGGTTTTGAATAAGATGACCTTCTCATTTTTCATTCTTATTATTTTTTCATAATTAATGAAAAATAAAAATTATATTCATTTTTAATTGATTTTTCTATTTAATATATTTTATTTAAAGAAATCCACGGTTTTATAAGATTCTATAAAAAATAAAGGAGAGGATCAAGATATAAATTATGTAGACCTTATATATATAAGTTAAGTTATTATGCTAAAAATTACTCTAAAAGTCTAGTCTAAGTGTCTCTTGTTAAGTTTAAAGCATTCAAAATCCTTTTCTTGACATAGAAAGAAAATTATATATATATATATATATATATATGCAAAGAATTTGTGTCCAATAGGATTAATATTTGTTCTAGTTTTTTAGTAATAACAGAAGAATTTTATTCGTAGGAACAAAAGAAACAGATCTATTCCATATCCAATAAGTAAGAATACGCAATGGTGGAGGGAGGGGTTAACCATATTTTATATGAGTGTTTATATCTTTATATCAGTGAATGCAAACATATTTGTTCATCACTCAAAGAACCTATTTGTAAGAATTTTTCTTAAGTCACTCGGTCTTCTTTTTCTTTTTGTATTTAGGATTTTTTTTATGAATTTATTCAATCTATAAATAAAATATGATAAGGACCAATCATTATTAAAACAATAAACCCATTGTTACATTTTTGAATCAAAGCGAAATATACTACTTAATTCAATTCTTTTTTCATTTAATGCCTATTGGTCAATCTAATATAGTTTTTGAGGCAATTGAAAATGGTATTTACTTGTTCCACAATCCGTTAGCTTTTCCTTGAATTTTTGGGTTTAGACATTATTTTGAGGATCTTTAATCATTTCAAAAATGGCAGCAACATACCAATTTTTTGATATCTTTCAATCAAAGAATCATACAATGATAATTACATTTATAGTTACATTTGTGGTAAAGGCAGAAATATTAGTGAAAGAGGAAATTCCAGTATAATAACTCACACGAATGCTACAAGTGATAGTGATTTAACTAGAAGAGAAAGTTCTAATGATCTAAAGGAGCCACCAAACTCTGTCCATTTATTAATTCAACTCAACTATGAATTTATTTTGTTGTAAGCCAAGAATTCAAACACGAATTAGGCCCGATCCAATAATAATGAAATATTTTTAGAATTCTCCGTTGATACATTATTGGAGCTTTTGAATAACAGTTAAGAAGACCTTATGAAAATGGAACATCTTCACATAGAAGATGTAAAACGTATATTGGACATTTTAGAAATAGAAAAGCATTTTGCATAAAATTGAAATACATTGGATTTTTTTTATCTTCTTTTTTAAAAGAAAAAAAAGATGAAAATGCGGGTTTTAAATCTTTAGCACAAATTCAAAATAGGTCCAGGCTAATGAATCTCCTTCTTTTTGCCATTGAACTTCCCAATTGTAACAGCCATCCTCAGGATCTCACCGTCACCCGAGGCGCTGGACACTCTCCCCCTAGGCCCCACAACAGGGGGACCCCACCCCTTACGGTGAACATCAGGAGACAAAGGCCTCCCCACAGTAGTGTGCAGGATTATTTCCCTTATGGAGAGCCTCCTCAGGTTCGATCCTCCAACCTCTCCTACATAACAAAGTTGAGGCTAAATCTGATACTATTGAGTCAAGTGCTCGAGTGACGGTGAGATCTCGAGGGGGGCTGTTACATTAAAAGGCGCCTTTTATGTAACAGCACGGAGTCACCCCTTAGGCCTCGACTCGGTGCTGGACTCTGGCCCATCACTGGACCAAAGCCGACTTTACCACAGGTGGTACTGTGGCTATTCCTCACCACTGCCTCTCCAGGGTCTTTTGGAACCTCTCCAGACTCGAACCTCCAACCTCTACCACCTTAATAAAGTTGAGGCTAAGTCTGGTACCATTGAGTCACTTGACTCAATGGTACCAGACTTAGCCTCAACTTTATTAAGGTGGTAGAGGTTGGAGGTTCGAGTCTGGAGAGGTTCCAAAAGACCCTGGAGAGGCAGTGGTGAGGAATAGCCACAGTACCACCTGTGGTAAAGTCGGCTTTGGTCCAGTGATGGGCCAGAGTCCAGCACCAAGTCGAGGCCCAAGGGGTGGCTCCATGCTATTACACCAATCAAATTCCTCGTAACATTCATAATGATCAACTTTACATAGATCCCATTGTATTCCAGAACCCTAAAGCATTGGTCCTGATAAACCCCAATTTATTACTTCCTCTCCATCAACAATGCCTACTCCCTCAACCCGTTCTAAAAAAATAGGATTTCGTGTAATAAGTTTTTGATATTCAACAAACCTTGTTAAAAAATAATCACAGAAATCCAAATATTTATCTATCCAGCCATGAGGTAGATTAGCCACTGCCCCTCCAATACGAAAACAATTATGCATCATTCTCATAGCTGTGAAAACTTCGAACTGATGACTTCCACCACATCAAGGTGACACTCTACCACTAAGTTATATCCCTTTCCTTGCCCCACCCCCATCGAGAAATAGAACTGACTAATCCTAAGGCAAAGGGTCGAGAAACTCAACACTACTATTCTTGAACAACTTGGAGTCGAGCCTTCTTTTCTTTTCACACTATAACGGATACAAAAATAATGGGAAAAATTGGATTCAATTGTCAACTACTCCTATCGGAAATAGGATTGACTATAGATTTGAGCAATAGCACATGGTTTCATAAAATTATATGATTTTACCGATCTAAATGAAGCAGGTTTTACGTGAAGAAAATTTAGCTCAGCATGTTCTACTCAATATGGGTAGGAGAACCTGACTTGGTATTCTTAAAAAAATAAAGAAATCAGAACCAAGTCAAGATGATATGGATCAACCCCTCCTCTTGCGCCAAAGATCTTACCATTTTCAAAGTAACAAAACATGTGCCAATTACAAAAACTGCTTTTTTAGTGGGTACACTTTCTCTTGGTGGTATTCCACCCTTTGCTTGCTTTTGGTCCAGAGATGAAATTCTTAATGATATTTGGTTGTAGTCACTAATTTTTGCAACAATAGCTTGTTCCACAATAGGATTAACTACATTTTATATGTTTCGGATCTATTTACTTGTTTTTAAAGGATATTTAAATGTTAATTGTAAAAATTTTAATGGAAAAAAATAGCTCATTCTATTCAATATCTTTATGGGGTAAAGAAAAAGAAGCGAAAAAAGAAATGAATTTATTATCTTTATTAACAATCAATAATAATGGAAGGACTTTCTTTTTTTGAAAGAAGACTGATTCACATCGAATTGATAGAAATTAAATATATATTATTTAACTATACAAATATATCAAATAATATATTATAAAAATATACATATATATTAAATTTTATTTTCAATTAGTAATATTTTAAAAATATTTATATTTTATTTAAATTATTCCTTAAATTATATTTTTCATAAAATATTATTTTACTAATGAAAATGAACTTAAAATAAAGAAAATATTAAATAATAAATTATTTTATTATGAATATTTTAGTTAATTTTTAAATTTAATTTTTATTTTTAAATAAAAATAATTAAATATATAATTAAAAGTTATTATCAAAAGTTAAATTTTTTTATAATATTTAGATAAGGATAGAATCCCTCGCTAAATCCTTTATTGACTATCTTACTTTACAGAGGGATTCGCAATCCATTGTTATTTTTCTTAATAATTATTTTATTTTAAAGAGAGATTGACAGTCATTCACTATTTTCTTTATTAATTATTTTATTTTAAAGAGGAATTAATAGTCCCTCATGAATTTTATGTTGAACTACGAAATTAACATTTCTCGCTGATTTGATATTTTAGAGAAGAACAAACAATCCCTTGCTAATTTACATTTTTTTAATAGTGATTGTTTCGTGCACAATAGCATGCTAAAGTTTTCTAGTTTAATACAATAAACACTTATTAATTTTTTTAATACATGCAAGACATGCATATCTTTGTTGGCCAAAAAAAAAAAGATATGCATTTCTTTAAGTTTTGTAATTTTTTGTTCTTAAATGTTCGAAAGATAATATTATAAAGGAAACTCTTACACCTCTTATATATGTTAGGCGCATGATTTGGGGGTATTCTAAATATCCTGGATATGTTTTAGTTGGCACAAATTATGGTTTTGGCAATTTGTTGCTTTTGCCAAATCCTGATCTATTTTGGGATAATGTCACATTATCACTTGTATTGCGTTACTATTATAAAGGAAACTCTTATCTCTTTTTACACATTATGACATACAATTTGGAAGTGTGCTCATATAATCTCGAATGTGTTTGAGTTGGCGCAAATTACGGTTTCAGCAACTTATCACTTCTGTCAAATTATGATTTTGAGATGGTGTCACATTGTCATTTTATTTCTAATAAACATATTTATTATATAATGTTACTATTTCCCATGCAGTGCACACTAAAGCTTCGTAGTTTAAATTTTTTTCCTTCGATATTCAAACAAAAATTCTATAAAGGAAAGCATTGCACTGTTTGATGTTATAAAATAATTACATAGGAAACTTAGAAATTATGCCACAGTTCTCTCAATCCCCTACATATTATTCGCAATAAATTATTTTAAAAGTCACATTTAATGATACATTTTGTGGGGTATGGTGAAAATTCTACTATTTATCAGGATAATTTCTGAAAAAGAAAATTTATTCATAAACTTATAGGGGACCCTCCTCAAGGGATAGTTACAGAACTCCTCCTTATTAAATTTCCTTTGCAATTTGGTCAAGAAAGCTACCACTCCAGTGCCTGCTTACCCACGCTAATTTGTCTCCTTCTGGTTCTATCGTCATTAATTTCTTCCTTCGAGGGCAAAATCGTCTCACCGCTAAACTCCAACGAAAAGCAAATGCATTAAAACGAACCAGACCCGCGCTTCCTTGTTGTGCTCACTTTAACTCTTGCTCTTCCTTCTTCTTCCTTCACTCCAATTACTTCTCTCTCTTCTCTCTCTCTTCATCTTTCTCTGCTTCGGAATTGAACGCGAAGTTCGGTTCCAGAATCTGTTTGAAGCCGAGACGAGGTACGTCCTTCTCTTTTAGCTTTCACTTTCTTACGTACTCTGCATATTTGTCTGATTCGACTAATTTCAAGGCCTCTCCTTTACTTCTCAGTTGATTGGATTGTTACAATCCGCATGTGTTGATCTTATGATGAACCCCAAAATTTGATTTTTAAAGTTAAATCGAAGTTGCCTCCTTCTTTGTGTGTATACGTTATCGATAACCATTTAAACGTGTAGTTGGCTTTCTTTATTGCCATCACCGGTTTTTACTGGAAAAGCTTAAAGGGGACTGTTCATCTTGTTCTCTTGGTAGCGAGAAGAAGCGTTGAGTTGACTCGGCGCTTTTGTTATCGAGTTCCTCGTCTGGGTATGAATTTGGTTTGCGCAGGACACTGCATGTAAGATAAGAATATTCCAGAGCATCCGTTATTAATTCAGTATTTACATATTAGATATTTTATTCTATTTTTGCTTCGTCCTTTCGATCTTTCGTAGATATGACTCGGTTTACTCGAGTGAAATGGATTAATATCTATGATTTATCGATGAGTTTGTGAGGTCTCGACTAGCCTAAAGTTGCCGAAATGATCTACAATATTTTGGCAGCCCATGACTGATAACTCACGGCATGACTGATGCTCGCTGTTGAGAATTCAAAGTAATAATTCCATCTGAATGATCTGCGTGTGGGCAAACTTCTCTGGTTAGTAAACCTCTACGAGTAAAAGGAAAAACTTATCATCCTCGGTGCTAGATCTAAAGATTGAGTTCAGAATCATCAGAGAGTAAATATCTTTTAATGGACTGTGATATATATGGCAATAATCTCAGCACAAATAGTGTTTTGGAATCTGGATTGATAAAATTGTGGCTTTTCCTTTCTTCTCTGTTGAGATTAATTGTTTCTCCCAGAACATATGATGAGTTTTCATGGTATCTATTTGAATGACAGAGGATCATCTAGAAAGTTGAGCAAGCATGGATCAAAACCACCCCGGGCTAGCAGCTGGAGGAGGAATGTCTGGTGCTTCTGCTCAAGGGGCATATGGATTGAATCAGTATCAACCTAACCAAATGATGGCTGCTCCTCAGTCTCAATCTCCTTCTCAGGCAGCATCAGGTCTTCCTGCATCATCATCTTCCTTTTTGCGAGACCAACAATATGCTCACCAGTACATGCATCAGCTGCAACAACAAGAACTGCGACAACAACTCCAAAACTTTTGGGCAAATCAATACCATGAGATTGAGCAGATTGTTGATTTCAAGAACCACAGCCTGCCTTTAGCTCGGATCAAGAAGATCATGAAGGCTGATGAAGATGTGAGGATGATATCAGCTGAGGCTCCAGTTATTTTTGCTAGGGCCTGTGAAATGTTCATCCTGGAGCTAACACTCAGATCTTGGATCAACGCAGAGGAGAACAAGAGGAGGACTCTTCAGAAGAATGACATTGCAGCAGCAATCACAAAGACTGATGTGTTTGATTTTCTGGTCGATATTGTGCCAAGAGATGAATTGAAGGATGAAATGCTCTCAGGAGTTCCCAGAGTCCCAGCAGCAGAGAATGTTCCTTACTACTACATGCCGCCACCTCAGCAAGTGTTGGGCCCTCCTCATCCTCCTCAGTCTCCATTCGGAGCTTCAAAGGTGATCATGGGGAGGCCTGTAGTTGATCAAGCTCATTATGGCCAGCCAGCACATCCTTCTTTCTCTGCACAAGTGTGGCCACACCAGCAAAACCCGTCTAACAACAATTCAGATTCTTGAGGAGATAAGATATTAGTATTACTGGGTAGACCAGAGTGCAGATACTTGGAGGACCAACAGGAAACCAGAGCATGTTCAGCTTTAAATGGAGCCACCCAAATGTCACAAGGAAGAGCCACCAGCAATGCAAAAGTCACTAGACGTCAGGATCAGCTAGAGTCGACTTTGTTTATTGAGACTCAAGAGTCGTTTTCATTTTTCTTTTACCTTTCTCTTTTCTTTTTGGTGTCAGGATAGTCAGCTTCATTGTGAGCTGGAACATTGCTCTACATTCTCGTGTGTTGTCGCTGGTAGGAAAGTGACAATAAGTTTATTTATCTATTTATGGTTTGTAACTTGGTTTATTAATCTTGTTTTCATGGAATTAGTCTTAGCTATGTAGTAGTATTTTTTTTTTTTGGCGAGCACCATATAACCTGGATTTATCCCACTCAAGTTGTGATGACTTAAAGAGATCCAAATTAATTTAGATCGAGACATGATAAGCATTATAAAAGTGGGTGTCTTTGGCCACTAATTAACACTAGGACATTTTCAAAACTCAAACTCAAAATTTCTAATTAAGAGTGAACAGTTCTTGTTAGTTGATCCAAGCGCTTGTGGTTACCAATAATTATTAGTTGTATATTCTATTACTGATCTTTTTATATGAGCAGCTATGTGACACAGCTCAAGCACACAGCCACACAAACGCGCATCTCTGGTAGTATGTAACATCAGAAACACAATTGGCAATTGAATCGAACAGATCCATGTCATTCTCAGAGTTTTCCCACAAGAATCCCGGTTGGCCCAGGTGAAGTGAAATCTCCTGGAATCCTTCATCACTGATCCAGATTCAAGTTCTTTATAATTATCAAAATGAATTGATAAGATAAACTTAAGGGAAAATGGCAAGTAAATTCCTCCAAAATAAAGAAATGACAATTTGATCCACAAAATGCGATAATGTTTTCATCTCAAAGGACTTTATTATCATTAAAATTTTTGATGAAATAATAAAAATATCACTGAATTTAAATACATGCAACAAAGTTTTTTTTCTGTTCACAATTTTAGTTTTAAAATTCATAATTCTAGTTCAACAAATGACTAAAATAATTTAAATATTCATAACTTTCTCTAATCATTTTTCTTCAATCAGCAAAGTGCAATAAAATTTTTTTGATTCACAATTTAGGTTCTAAAATCTACAAGTCTAATTTAAAAAATAAATAAAGTGATTTAAGCATTTATAAACTTTTCCTATAATTTTTCTTCATTTTTTTACATTAAGAGATATTTTGGATATTTTATCAAAAAATTTAATAATAATTAGACTCATTGGGACTTAAAAGATATTATCACCTCCCATGAGATTAAATTGTCATTTTTCAGAAAAATTCATCTGTCATTTTCCCTAAATTTAAGGAGTGATCAAATGATGATCACTATACATATAAAACAAAAATTACTTTCACATGCTTTTACGAATTACATGGATAGAGCCTAGTAAATCAAAAAGGTCATAGGCGACTCTTACATATGCTTATATTTCTGTATATTATATTTTATTTAAATATACATGTAAAAAAAAAAAAAAAAAACCTCTTGACATTTAATGCGAATGTGCGTCCACATCAACTGGTAGTACTTGATTGGCATCATTGTGCATGATATTGGGCCTCATAAGTAACCCAAAATTCTGGACCCAGTCATGTCACTTAACGGATCGTTTAAGGTTTTTTGGTAGAACGAATCTTTTTTTTTCTATTGGTTACAGTTATGTTTTTTCAGGCAATCCCACTTAAAGTACAGTTAGACATTAAATGAGACATTTCTTCTAATGAAGATTTAAATCTTAATGTATTATGTTGTTGTAAGGGACTAATTGCTTCTGCTAGATCCAACCCTCATTGGTTTTTTGATTAAACACTAATGTAATTTAGTTTGAAGCAACGTCAAGTACTAAATGTGAATATCTTTCCTAAAAATTCAAACATATCAACAGACACAGACAAGAGATATCTTATTTTTTGAAAAAAAATATATAATTATATAAAAATATTTATTTATATATATATTCTTTTTTTATTTAAAAATATAAGGTATTTTTAACTGAATCTCACCCCAATAAAATAGTTACTTGTCTTCAAACTAATCTTATATTTTTATATTTATCCAAATTTTGATAGCATGTTTTACCCTAAAATATATATATAATGATTTAGTCAATATAGTCACTTTTAAAAAAATATAATGATTACACCTTAAAAGATTAAAAATGCCTTATATTTTTAAACATTTAAGTTTTTAAAAAATATTTTGTATTTTTGAACGGAGCGAGTATATTTAATATTTTAATACACACATACACACATTATTAAATCATTGAAAGAAAAATCAATATACTCCCTTTAGAGATCCCTATTACTCCTCCCATTAAAAAACATAAAATATTTTTAATTGAATTTCACCTTTTAATAAAGTAATTACTTATCTTTAAACTAAATTTTTTTTATATTTATCCCTATTTAATATGATATTTTATCTTAAAATAAATATAAAGTAATTTATTTAATAGGGATACTTTTAAAAAAAAGATAATGATTATACTTTGAAAGATTGCTAATACCTTGTATTTTTAATATTAAATTTCTCAACAAATGACTTGCATTTTTTTAATGGAAGGAGTATAGGACACTTTCTATAAGCATTGTTTTTTTATATAAGGGACACTATGGGGGTGATAATTACGTTTTCCCAACATTAACCTATTTAATTAAACTCATAAATTATAAGAGAGAATGTAATATATATTTAAAATTTTTTCATGTAAATAGAAGTAAAATTAAAAATTTATTTTATTCTTAAATAAAGTTAATAATTTAACTACCTTTGCTTAATTTTGATGAAATAATTAAATGTATTTTATAATAGAAATTGAAGAGTATATATAAAGTGTAGTACTCATTGGGATATCATTAGATATTTTTATTAAGACTCATTGAATAACTAGTACATGCCAGTGAATTCATATCTTCATCTCAGTGAGGTTAGATCCTAAATATAATGTAAAACTCTTCCAATGTGGTTTTTCCTATGTATGTTTCGAACTCATCATCTTATTTTCTCGTTTGAAAAACTCAATCTTAATTTAAGTGTTAAAATTGCCTCGACTCAGTCCAATTACTATTTAGTTTCTTTCAAAATTTGGCTAAAACATATTCCACCATTGACTTAGGTCAAAATCTTCTATCGATCCTAAAGCTTCAGAGGTTCTTAATTTATCACAAAAACAAAATATTGAGTAAAATTTTAGTTATATTATTTCCCCATTCCATTATTTCTCTGACACCCATTCTATTAAGTAATATTGCATAGATAACGTAAAATTGCATTGAGAGACACGTGTGATGGAATCAGTCAGCATGCAATTCTCTGGGTCTTTTATTATTAACTGACTAAATTGTAAATTCCCATATATATCATACATTGAAAAATTCTTCTTCACGTGAGAACCCAATCAACAATTTTTATTTTTTTTGGACAATCTTTATTTTTACTCTTCCTTTGCCCTTTCTTTGTTGTTTTGATGGATGCAACGTCTTATAATTCATTAATTACTTTACATAAGATCCTTCCTCCACCGACACCCTAAATTTAGGCAACAATTGTTTTAACAATCATTTTGTTGTTCTTACTTGTTAATAGAATTTGTGGTCTTTAATTGTATCGTTAGAGGCCTAAACGTAATGCTCTCAAAATTTTATTTATATGGCAATATTTACACCAAATATAAATGTTAATATTTTTATATAGTATATTCTTTATTTTCATAGTTCTGCTTCACTTTCGTCGGGGTCATATTTTTTAGGGAGAATGACAATTGAAGACCCTGTAAGAAAAAATTAATATAAAATAGAGACTTTTGAGCTGTAAATCCTGATATTTCAACTATAAATTCTTAAAGTTTCAGTTGTAAGATGTCCTCGATATTTTTCAAGGATCATTATTTATCATTCTCCCTGTTTTTTTTTTATTGACTTAACATTGATGGTGTATATTAATTACATGCGTATACATTTAATGTGACTCTATTTTACTTTTTCAAAAACTGATACATCGTGACTTTCATTTAATAAAACAAATTACTCGTGATGATTAAACAAATCAACTAGCTAAAATAAAAATCAATAAAAACGAAAAGTAATTTTAATTTCCTGTTTTTAATTATATTTATTAAATTTAATGATATATATAATTTTTTCTTTATTAATTTAAATTTAATATTATAGTATCAAATAATTCATGAATTTTCATGTATTAATTTATGGAGATCAATTCGTAATTTCCACAAATTAAGTACCTTCCATCACGCGTCCTTATTAAGTGATCAGCTCTTGTCATTTATACTCAACACTTACTTTATTTATTTTTCAACTTGATTGAAAAGAAATATATCATGTAAAATAAGTGGCTTAAGTTGTATCTTAAAATAACTCATACTTTTCAACTTATTTTTACATTTTTCTAGAAAATAGTTTAAAGTTGAATTTTGGTCGACTTTCAAGGAAATTGGTTTGGTTTCGTTTCATAATTCATTTGGATTGGTTTGGTACATACTAAAATATTTTTTTTTATAATTTTCATGACTTTCTTCTTCTTTTAAATGTAAAAGTATAAATTTATTTATTTTAATTATAATAATTTTATTATTAATTATTAATTTTACATTTAAAATGTTTTTATTTTATATTTTACTCATTCAAGAAACAAGGAAAATAAAAATTTATATTGCTTAGATTTATAATGAATCACTTGGAAAATTGAAAGCTATAAAAATTAAAAATAACAACCTAAGTGTTATGACAATAAATATATAATTTTTAATTTTTTTGATTCGATATATATAATTTTTAATTATTTTTACATAGTTGAACATGGCTACTGCGGATTTGCAAGCAAGTGTATTTTTTTTTAACTTATCAATATTTTCATGTTCATAAAAATATAAATTAAATGTAACAGGTTTGATTCATTAATCTGGTTCATATTCTCAAATGTGAATTGAATTTTACTTGAAGTTAGTTTTGACTTTTGATTGATTCTTTTTAATTTGGCTTTGTTCAATCGATTTTGAGCACTTTTCTTTTTTCTTTATTCCATTATCTGATATTATAAAAAACTTGGGATATTATTATTGCCCACTCACCCTAATTCAAACCTATATTGTGTGAGATTAGTATTATCAATGATAGTCTCACAAGTATCTTAGAAATGCTTTTAATATATTTATTTAACGCAATTGCATATCCTAAAACTTAAATTCAAATTCAAACTCAAGATTCCAAGATAAATTAATTTAATTTTCTTTATCAGTTG